TTCTGTATCAAGGATGCTATTCAAATGTCAACTCCACAAAGCACTCCCTCATCTCTCCAACTCCTATTAATATTCTCTTCCTCTGAAGTCCCAAATTAATTGCACTAAACATTATTAAGAACAGTTAGCTCTTGGGGCACATGAGTGGCTCAGTGGTTAAGTGTCTTGCCTTTGGTTCAGGTCATGATCTCAAGGTCCTGGGATCAAGCCCCACATCTGGGTCCCTGCTCAGTGGGGAGTCTGCTTCTCCCTCTGCCCCTTGCCCCATTCTCTCTCTCTCAAATAAACAGATATAACCTTAAAAAAAAAAAAAAAGAAGTTAGCTCTATCTGGCTTCATTGAAATTTATGTAGATCCCTTGGCTCCTTTTTAGGGCTAGACTTTCCTAGAGTATGGCATCCATTTCTGATTGGTATCCCCTGACTCAAGAATTATGCTGTGAACATGGCATGTGGATGGGTAGGCCCTGTGTAGTTTGCCATGCTCATTCTTTACTACGCCTTGTGGATGACTGGTCACATGTGTCTACAGACTGGTTATCTTTTCTCTTTAAACAGCTTTGTTGAGATGGAATTTACATACCATAAAATTCACCCATTGTGTGTGTATAGTGTCCCTATGTAATTTTTAATACATTTGTAGAGTTGGGAAACCATCTTCACGATCCAGTCTTAGAACATTTCCATCATCCCTCACAGTTCCCTCCTGTCCGTTTAGTTAACCTGACTTCCACCTCCAGTCCCAAGCAACCACTGATCTGTTTCATGTCTGTACAGATTTGCCTTTTCTGGGAATTTCATATGAATGGAATTCTACAATATATAGTTTTTAGGGTCTGCTTTCTCTCAATTAGCATACTGTTTTTGAGGTTCATGAATGTTGTGGGAATAATCAGTAGCTTGTATCTTTATTATTGCTTTATCCAATCAACAGTTAATAAGCATTTGGATTGTTTGCAGGTTTTGGTTATTATGAATAATAGCACTGTGAAATTTGCATTCAAGTCTTTTGTAGACATATGTTTCATTTCTCTTGGGTAGATTCTTAACTATGGAATTGCTGGGTTGTATCATAAGTGTATGTTTAACTTTTTAAAATAGACCTAGGTTGTTATAGATCTGTTAGGGGTTGAATTGCATCACCCAAAAAGATATGTTGAAGTCCTAACCCCTAGTACCTCAGAATGTATTATTTGGGAAATGAGGTCATTGCAAATGTAATTAGTCAAGATGAGGTCATTCTGGAGTAGGATTGGCTCTTAATCTTCTATTAGTAGTGTCCTAATAATAAGAGGAAACTGAAGGGAGAAGGCCATGTGGTGATGGAGGTGGAGATTGATGTGATGCAGCTGCAAGCCAAGGAGTGCTATGGACTGCTGGCAAACCACCAGAATGTAGAGAGTCAAGGAAGAATTCTCTCCTACAGGTTTCAGGGTGAGCGTGGTCCTGCTGACACCTCCATCTTGGACTTCTAGCCTCCAGAAGTGTGAGACATAAATTTGTTGTTTAAGCCACCCAGTTTGTGGTACTTTGTTATGGCAGCCCTAGGACATGAGTGCAGACTCCAGGTTTTCTGTCTTCTTGATTCAGTTTCCATAGTTTGTATATTTGCAGGCATTTGCCCAACTCAACTACATTGTCCAATTTGTTGGCATAGCCTCTTTTAATTTTGGTAGGGTGGGGAGGGATATACTGCTTTCATTCCTAACGTTGGTAATTTGTGTCTTCTCTCTTTTGGGGGGCAGGCAGCCAAATAAAGTTTTGTCAATTGTATCAATCTTTTCAAAGCGCCAACTTTTATTTTCATTGATTTTCTCTATTTTTCCCTTCTGTTTCACTGGTTTCTAATATGATCATTATTCCCTCCCATTTGCTTGCTATGGGTTTAAGTTGCTCTTATTTTTCTAGTTCTTAAGGTGGAAGCCTAGATTATTACAATCCTTTTTCTTTTCTAATATGTGTGTAAAGTAGTAAATACCCTTCAGATAACGTTTTTGGCTGCATCCCAAAAATTTCAGTATGTTTTCATTTTCATTCAGTTCAAAATATTTCCTAATTTCCTTTGTGACTTCTTTGGCTCGAGTAATTTAATTTCCAAATATTTGGAGATTTTCTATATTTTTTTCTATTGTCTATTCCTAACCTAATTCCATTGTAACCATAGAACATGGTTCTATTATAGAATGTGATGCCAATCCTCTTAAATTTATTGAGACTTGTTTTATGACCTAGCATATTGACTATTCTGCAGAATATACTTAAAAAGAATGTAAATCCTATTATCATTAAGCTCAGTGGTCTATACATATCAGGTTCATAGTGCTGTTCAAGGCTTCTATATCCTTAGTGGTTTTCTTTCTAGGTGCTTTACCCATTAAGAATAGGATATTGAAATATCAAACTATTATTGTCTATTTTTCCATTCAACTCTATCAGTTTTTGCTTCATGTAAATAAGGTTCTGTTGGTGGGCACATGTACATATCTAATTGTTATATCTTCTTGATGTATTGACTCTGTATGAAATGTGTTTCTACAAGTATTTGTCTTAAAGTTTATTTTGTTTGGTATCAGTAAAACCACTGCAAATTTCTTAAGATTACTGTTTTCATGGTCTATCACTATTAAATATTGTTGTTGGTCTTGCATTCATAATACATGATGCAATTTTGTACTTATTTTTATGGTTCTTAAATTGTTCTTGTTTAATTTGCAAACTTTTTCATAAGAAAGCTATAAATTCTTCAATAAGTTTTACACATCTTTGGGTACAGTGTTGGGTATAACAATAAATGATCCATTAAAAGCAACTGGATACCAAAACAAGCTCCTCTTTTAAAAAAATAATCCAGTTGTTATTTTCTCATGGTGTTGTTGCTTGATGTCCTCTCTCCTTCGGGCCAGGTTTTGAAAGCTGAAAATGACTAATCTGCCTTCCAGCCAGCTGCAATCCTAGATTTATGAACTGTATAAATGTCGTTACCACAACTCCTCTATTTGTATGCAAGGACCACATTTTGGGAACATTCATTTACATCAAATGGCTTAATCCCGGTATTGTTGCTCTCTTACAAACCTTTGATAAAATTAGAAAATTGTTCAGATCATTAGATGGGTCTTGAATATTATACACAATGTGCATAATGCTGCTTTTTCTCATGATTAAGATAATGAATACTTTGAGTGTTTAGGAATCATCATCCTACAAAGTAATGTAACAATTGCATAAATTTAATGTTAAAGGTCTTCTTCTGGCACTGATTCTTTGTCATTTGTTCTATTATTTGCTATTAAAACCCTGCCTCAGTGAAAGGATGGAGGACTGCCTCATGTTAAAGATGTACAATTATTATCTAAGTGATGTTTGCCAATTTAAATAGGACTTGAGTATACAACATGCTGATTTCAATAGGAATTAAAAAAAAGTTCTGGTCTATTGAATCAATCATATAGGACAAAAAAGGTCATTTTTTAAAAGGTAGACTTCTTCTGTCCTCTTAAATGTCTATGAAATTTTTCACAGATAATATTTGAAATGGAATCTAATTGCCTAAGTATATTCTTAACCTCTATATATGACATTTTTGAGATTACTGTATTGAGACTTCTTGACTTGTGGCTCCCTTAAAATTACTTCTGTATTTGATGGATTAAGATAAGAACAAGAAAAATGATGCAATTATAGAAAGTTGCAAGGGGTGTGAGAGAATGCAAGACAGGATTAGTATTAATTGAATTGATGCATATGATCATGGATCAGAAGGATAAATGGAGACCTCTTCTTTCTGAAGAATTACCTTTTTTTCCTTAGCAAAGTCTATAAAATACTTCTATAGGCAATTCATCTACTCCACATCCCCCTTCAGTTGACTTTCTAGGAATGCAGTTTCTCATTGTGGGCAAGCTTTCTGATCAGCATATTGTTTTCAGAAGAAAGGGATAACTTGTAAAGCTCAAAGAATAACTTGCAATTTCCTAAGAATCTTTCCTGTCACATGAAAATCTGTTATATTCCCCTGTCCCCTGTACATGAGCCAAATTTTCATCTAAATTTCAAACTCCAAAATGAACATTTCCATGAAGAGTGCTTGCAATAAATAACAAAAGACAATCAAAACTCTTCTGATTTAGGCAGTTTTTAGGTAGCCTCGCTAAACACAGCTGCCACAACTTCCAATAAATACAGAACAGCATACCACCACCTGCATTTGGAGTCCTCCTTGAAAAATGCGTGTCTTCCTCCTGGTTACGAGAAAATTCCACACCAGCCAGTATGATAGCTTCTTCATATTGCAGGAAATAACAGCATTGCTGCATTTAACTTAACCTGACTCCTACAACTGAACATAAAACTTAAGGATAATCGAAATACTTCACACCCGAAGCCTTTAAATGGGCAAACAGACTAATAAATGCAAGCTCCAACCTAAGCTTTGGGGAGTGAGCAGCACGCCCATGACCTTGTTTGGGTGGCCGACTTTGTAACTGTGGGCTCCGCCAACCAGACGGCTGCTCTCCTGCTGTCTGCGGCTGACCCACGAAGGTGGGAGTTTCTGTTTCTCCCCCCAGCACATCACAGCCAGGGTCCGACTCCTCCACGCAGAAACCGGACCTCACGGTAGGGATGCGCCAGTTCCTCGGCCGCCACCGGGCCCACTCGTCGCTTGTCTCCACGTCCAGTCCCTGGAAAGCAGATCGTTCCTTTGCTTCATCTGTGAGTAGGCGACCAGCAGTTACTTATGGCAGGAAGGAATATTATCCTCGTGTCACTCGGAGCCGGGGGGATGAGTCGAGGGTACGAGCCCCCCACACGGCTCTCTCTGGTGGACCTTCTTCCGCAGGACCCTCGTCACCTGGCCCAGGGAACCGCCGCAGCACGCGGGGGAAAAGAGCGCGGACGCGCAACTGAGCATGCGCAGAAGGAGACTGGCTCTCGCTTTACGTCCCCCTCCAACACCCGCCCTGCCAGCCCGGCCGCCCGAGCCGCGTCGCCCACGCCCTCTTCTCCCCGCCCCGCAGGCCCCGGGGACCAGGAGGGTTCGGTATCTGGCGCTCGTGCGTGATGACGCACATGCGCGCGAAGACGTGGGGACGCAGGCGGGCCGTAGAGAGCGTGAGTTTCCGCGTCTGTTTGGCTCCCCATGCGTCGTCGGTTCTGCCGGGTGCCTCTCGCCCCTTTCCCAGGGCCGGGCGGTGAGGGGATGCGGGGCGCCAGTCGGCACTTCCCGGGGGCCGGGCTGCGGGCCGGGCTGGTGGCGCGTTTCCGCGTTCTGGGCACCCTGGTCAAGTCCGGGAGCCGGGTGGGTGCTTCCCGCAGCGAGTCGCCTTGGGGTCCCATCGTCTGCACAGCGGCCTCTTCTTGAGGCTGAGCGCCCCGGGAACTACGTGCTGGGAGGATGGGGTTGGCTCTGTGGGAGTTTTAAAAAGATTCCTTCGGAAAACAGGAAGTTGAAGTGACGTTGCATCACCAACAACTTGCAGTTTCAGGCGCTGGAGGGGTAACTTTGTTTCTACGAAGAAGTGTGTGGCAAACACAACCCTAACTAAACAGTGGTATTTTTCTTAATAAGGGATAGGAAGTCCGCATGTGGATTTAACCCTTTTTGTAGTCACACTTTAAAAAGCCTGTCCAAAAATGGATCACATGCCTCATTTTTCCAAACTGTGCATAAACTTTTGAAGACTCAGGATTGCTATTAGAAGGAGTTTGTGCATTGCCATGATTCAGTCATCGAGTTGTGTAGGTCTTTATGCAGGACACTCAGTGACAGCTCGATTTTGCTTTTAGTCTTAAAAGTCTAATATCTCACATGTATGTCACTTTATTTTTGCCAGCTCCAATAAACTATAAATTTAAAGACTTATAATTTTCTGCTCACATGGCAGCTTGGGGAAGCAAGTAATTTTACAAAGAAGAATAGCAATACACTCCTAATTGTCCCAGGACTACTAGCATCAGCACCTGGGAACTTGTTGGAGATGCAAATTTTGGGGTCTTATCCCAGACTTACCCAGAAATCTACTTTAACAAGATTTGCAGTTAATCTAGTGCACGTGGGTGCTAATGTGAATTTTGCTGTCGTGATAAAGAGGAGAAGTCACAAAATGGAATGTGAAACCAGGTGAAGCCTTTCCTAGATGTAAGACCTTGGGACCAGTTACTTAAAGGTTTCTTCATAGGGCTGTAAATATTCAGTGTGAAAAAGCAGGGAAGATAAGTTTAACACTAACACATGTAAGAAAACTCTCAAAGATGAGATGTTATTTAATAGTTTGTTGGAACTGCATAAAGTTAACTACTTAGATCGTGCTGAAAGGATTTTCATGGTGTTCAATGTGAGTTGAAGTTCCTGAATATCGTGACCATGGCGTAGAGGGCATTTTACTTGTTTATTTCTGGATTCTAATTATAGTCTATATAGTCAGGATTGTTGGATGCAGGATATTCTGTTGAAAGTTATAGCAGTATGTGCTAATACCAGTGCTATTGGGGCTGTAGTATTTTTTTTTTTTTTTTTACAGGTTGGTTGGTTTGTTTTTAAAATAGGCCCCATGCCCAGTATGGGTCTTGAACTCACCACCGAAGATCAAGAGTTGCAGGCTCTACTGACTGAGCCAGCCGGGCCCCCTGGAACTGTAGTATTTTTAAGAATGAGATAAGTAATTGTGTTAAAGAGTAGCTTTTAATTCTTTGGCCTTTTGGTCTTTTCAGCTTAATTATACCTTCTTTTGATCCAGAACTTGGTAAAGAAGTTGGGTGGATAACCAGAGATAAGCCTTAGTCATAGAGCGGAGGGGTGTTAATGACTTGCATGCAGAAGCCTCGGCTGAAGATGTTTCTGTCCTTACCTCTCTTTCCCATGTGTCATGCAGATCCAGGAAGTGGAGGAGGCCTCCTGGTAACTACTCCTATACCCTTGTTTCCTGGAAGCATCACAGGAGCTAAGTTAGCTGTGCCCTTCACCTGCCGTTTTTTTTTTTTTTTTTTTTTTCTTTTTGTTTTTTGCAGTTTTTTTTTACTTTTTTCCCTTTCCTTTTTCCGGGGGGGGGGTGGGGGGAAATATTTTGGATTTGAAGCAGTTCCCATAAAACCTAGACTCATTCAATTTTGAGGAGGATCAGTGCCATACCATGGCTAAACAACATGTCACTCTGATTAGAGCACACTGCTCCTGAGCCACACCATGGCTCTTAGATACTGTGGGTGAGAGTTTTCGGATAAACATGAGTCACTTCGGATATCTGCTTCTGTGAATAAGTTTGTTAATACTACCATTAAATTAACACTGTCCCATCATGAAACATTCATTTTTCAAAGGCCCTAAACAATTTTCTTGTTCTCTGTGTTAAAGAGGCCGATCTATAGCAGTGGTTTTGGTCAGACCTTGTTTTGAACGCTGCCTCTACTACTTACTGAGTTCGTTAAACAAATTAACATCCTCTCTGCCTTAATTCTCTCTTTTGTAGAGTAGGAGTCATGGTGTGTGCCTACCTCAGGACACTGAATTAACTGAATAAAGTGCAAAGCATGTCTGCCATGTGAAGGCAGAGAGACCCAATAAATGCTGCAGTTGGACAGGGGGAAAAAGGTAGTTATCACCCCAAACTTAACTTTACCTCATTCATTTTCTCATACTATTTTTATGAACGAGGTAATTTTGTTAATTACCTAACTGCACTGCTTTTCTTTTTAAATGCTAAAATCCCGGGCGCCTGGGTGGCTCAGTTGGTTAAGCGACTGCCTTCGGCTCAGGTCATGATCCTGGAGTCCTGGGATTGAGTCCCGTCTGGCTCCCTGCTCAGCAGGGAGTCTGCTTCTCTCTCTCAAATAAATAAAATCTTTAAAATAAATAAATAAATAAATGCTAAAATTCCAAAGAGTCAAAGCTTTCACATTATTGAGAGAAAGCAAACACATGGAAAAAATTAAAACTCTAAAACCTGGTAGAAAAACACTATCTTCAGTTTTATCACCATAACAGAACAAATTCCATAAAATTGTTTTGGGTGTTTATCGGAAGGTCAAGGTCGGGATGATTAATATTTAAGTATCTTCAGTTAGTTAACCAGGACAGTCCACTATAGAGGGGACACTATGTTCCAAGAACCTCACTGAAAATATGCACTGTGCATTTATCTTTCATTTAAAAAAAAAATAAAATTATCTCCTGTGTTTTTGTGTGTATATATATATATTATATATATGAGCATGGAAAATACTTGAAAGGAGTCATACCAGATCATAATTTTGTTTACTTGGCAATGTATTATAATACAGAGATGGGGTAAATAATCTACATTTATGTAAAGTTACATGGGTGCATGTATATATAAACATCCTTTAAAAAAAATATTTATTTATTTTAGAAAGAGAGCGTAAGGAGAGGGAGAGAATCTCAAGCAGTCTCCACGCTGGGTGTGGAGACTGATGGCTGGGCTCCATCTCATGACCCTGAGATCACAACCTGAGCCGAAACCAAGAGTCGGATGCTCAAATGACTGTGCCACCCAGGCGCCCCTAAACATTTTTTTTATTTATTTTTAAGATTTTGTTTATTTATTTGAGAGAGAACGCACGAGCGACTGGGGGAGGGGCGGAGGGAGAGGGGGAGAGACTCCAGGAGGCTCCATGCTGAGTAGGGAGCCCAACACAGCTGGATTTCACACTCAGGAGATCATGACCTGAACAGAACTCAAGAGTCAGACACTTAACTGACGGAGCCACCCACGTGCCCCTAAACATTCTTTTAAAAAACCATTTAAAAGATGAAAAAATAAAAGCCATTTAAAAGATAGAAATGATGCTTTAAGAAGATAGATTTCCTTTTATGCTTTAGTTCTAGTCACATAAGCAGTGGTCCTTAGAGTTTTTTTTTTTTTAGGAAGGGAACCCTTTTTAGCAGAATCTTACCCAAAAACCTCAGGAGCTGAGAGGCTTTAAGAGAGGTTGAAGGGCACAGTTCTGCTTGCTGGTGCTCATCTTGAACTTTTTGCAGTGATACTCCAAGACATGTCCCCAGAACCCTGGAGTCCAGGGCACTGGGTATGAAACTCTTCATCTGTGGGATAGAAATCATCAAGAGACAGTTATATCTAAAAAGTCATGGCATTAAGAATTATTGTGAGTGGGATTCACAAACTTGTTCTGAAGACAATTCCCAGGATTTTCAGCAATGTCAAATGTATGTGTAACTTCTCAGGCAGAGGAGTGAGTGGTTATTTAAAAAAAAAAAAAAAAAAAAAAAAAAAGGAAAGGAAAAGATCCAGTCTTCATGACCCATATTTTATAAAAAAGAGGAGTTCTATGAATGCTTTTTGAGAAATCATCTCAGTTTTTTTTTTTTGATCCCTCTAAGCCGTGACAGCTGTATCACTGTTAAAGCTATTTAATATTTTAACTGGATATTGTTTAGCATTACAGATGACTCAAGGAAAAGGAAACAACAGGTCAATGGAAATATATTACCTGTGTTTACTGTCCCTTTGTTTTTTGTACTTTGAAAGCAGCTGGTTTGCAATTTGTATGGTAAAGGGTTTTTCTTAAAGAGTTAATTTTTAGTTAATAGTGAACTTTCATAAGAAAAATAATCTCAAACGCTAAGTATTTGTAAGGTTATTAATAGGGGTAGTAGTAGTATCACATTTGTCTTTTTTCACACATTGAGCAGGGTTTCCTGGTGACAGCTGGAGTGTGGGGGAGGGGGAGTCACTTTCATTCAGCCTGCTGCTCGGTGCAACATCATGATGGCCATAGTTCAAAGCCTGTGGGATAATTTTGGCTGTATTCAGAGAAGAAAATGTGTCAAATTTCTGGGAGCAATAGATAGTGCAGAAGAGCTATATAAGAGCCCTTTGGGATCTAGATGATAGTCAACTAACAATGTGTGCCTTCAGGTTTGCATGTTGGTGTTATTTTACCATCTAGTTTCTTGGACATTGTTACATGCACATCATAATTATAAAGCAATAAAGTCTAGTTCCATGGGGGGAAAGGCTCATTACTTTATGGAGAGGAAGGGAGATTGGAAAACAAACTTTGGGAGTGTGCTACGTGCTTTCACATAATATGCTATTTCATTTATTCTTCACAATGACTCCAGTAAGTAAGTGGAA